GCGGGCCGCCATCCAATCCTGACCTCCACGGACGTGCGGTCCTCTTCCACACGGCGCCTGCTGTCGCTGCTGAGAGCACACCTGCGAGCAGCCCTACGACGAAGATGCCCCACGCGAACGGCGGCTCGGGGCACTGCAGCGGCGGACAGCCTGGGCACACGGGACAGGTGAGCTGCTCTGGCCCGCAGCGCTCCAGTTGCCGACCCAGGAGGCCCACGATATCACTGCTGACCTGGCAATCGGCTATGCAATGGCAGTCGGGGCAGCGGGCGACTGAAAGGAGAGGGGCCCAAGGAGCGATAGCCTGCAATCCTCGCAGGGCCAAGTCCATTGAGCCAGAAAGACTATAGAGCAGGAATGAAACGGAACTGTGCGATGCAAACTCGTTCAACAACGTACATTGGTTTTTTTTTTGGGGGGGGGCGGATTGTGGCATTTTCTTCTTATCAGCTCTCCGACGGCCCAAGACGGCCCAAGAGGCCCCCAACATCGTCCCAAGGGCGCCCAAGAGGCCTCCAAGATGGCCCCATGGCAGCCCAAGAGGCCCCCAAGAGGGCCCCAAGGAGAGCCCAAGACGGCCCAAAATGGCTCCGAAGACGCAGAAGATGGCCTTCAAGACGGCCAAGATGGCCTCCAAGATGCCCCCAAAATGCCCCCAAGACGGCCAAGAAGGCCTCCAAGACAGCGAAGATGGCCCCAAGATGCACCAAAGACGGCCCCAAATGGCCTCAACATTGCCTTAGACTGCCCAAAAGGCCCGCAAGAGGCCTCCAAGACGGCCCAAGAGCCCTCCAAGACGTCCTCCAGGAAGGCCCGAAAGGGTCAAAATGGCCTCCAGACGGCCAAGATGACCCGCAAGATGCCTCCAAGACGGCCAAGACGGCCCAATTGAGCTCCCAAGAAGACTCGTCCTCCCTTCCCCTTCTTCCTCGCTCTCCTCCTCTTCCCCGCCCTCCCCCACGTGCTCCCCGAATGCTTCCCAAACCGATTCGGGGAACACGCGCCCCGAAAGGTTGGCAAGGATCCGACCCAACCTTCGGCCAGCAGGCCCAACGACGCCGAACACGCCCATTCCTCACTCTCCTCCTCTTCCCCGTTCTCCCCCACGTGTTCCTCGAAGACGTTCCACACCGATTCGGGGAACACATGGTCCGATAGCTTGGCAGGGCTCTGGGCTCAGTGTTCGGCCACATAAGCGCGTCCGAAAAGGCAGGGGGCGGCGGCGATTCGCCGTAAGCGTATTCGATCCGCCGCCCCCTGTTGGCTTGCCACAGCGGCAACTCGGAAGGGACCGTAAGAGGTGGTTACAAATGCGTTTCCTGCTCCAGACGGCTCCACGATGGCCCAAGCTGGAATCCACTGCGGCCAAGATGGCCTCCAAGCTGCCTCCAATATGGCCTCCAAGACGGCCCTAGAGGGCCCAAGATACTTCAAAGTCCGCCTTGGAACCCTCCAAGACGGCCCAACTCTGTCCAAGAGGTGCCCAAGAGGCATCCAAGACGGCCCACGAGGCCTCCGAGAGGTCTCCAGGGGGCACGAACCGGCACACATCATCGTGTGTGCCTAAGGATTTGGGCATGTGCTCTTTTTCGGCCTTCCGACGGCCCAAGGGGCCCCCACGATCGTCCCCAGAGCGCCCAAGAAGCCTCCAGGATGGCCCCAGAACGGCCCAAGAGGCACCCAAGACTGCCCCGAGTGGGCCCACAGACGGCCCATGAGGCTTCCAAGACGCCCCAGGGCTCCAAGACGGCCCTGGAACACCCCAAGAGGGGCCCAAGTCGGCCCAGAGAGGCCCTTGAGACGGTGTCCGACGGCGTCAGACGGGCCAGGAACCCACCAAGACGGTCTACGATGGCTCTAAGGTGGCCCAAGACGGCCCAAGAGGCCTCCAAGGGGGGCCTCCAGGAAGGCCCGAAGGCCAAAATCATTGATGCCACTTGCGTTTGTGTTGTTCACGGATTTGGGCATTTGCTTCTTTTCTGCCTTCCGACGGGTCGAGACGGCCCACTAGCCCACAAAGATCGCCCCAAGAGCGCCCAAGAGGCCTCCCAAGAGGGCCACGAGACGGCCCTGGAGCATTCCAGAAAAGCCCCAAGTCGGCCCAGAGTGGCTCCCCAAACGGCTTCCGACGGCGTCAGGTGGGCTAGGAGCCCACCACGACGGCCGACGATGGCCCTAAGACGACCCAAGAGGCCTCCAACGAGGCCTCCAGGAAGGTCCGAAGATGCCAAACTCATTGATGTTCCCTTGGTTGTTGAAGGATGTTGCCGTTTGTTTCTTTCGGCCTACCGACGGCCCGAGACGGCCCACGAGCCACCAAAGATCGCCCCAAGATCGCCCCAGAGGCCTCCAGGATGGCCCCAGAACGGCCCAAGAGGCACCCAAGACGGCCCAAGGACGGCCTAAGACGCCGAAGATGGCCTCCAAGTCGGCCCTGGACCACCCCCAGAGGGCCCCCTGCCCAGAGAGGCCCCCAAGACGGCTTCCGACGGCGTCAAGCGGGCCAGGAGCCCACCAAGACGGCCAAAGAGGCTCCCGAGAAGCCCCCAACGGCCCGCAAGAGGCCCAAGGAGGCCCCCAAGATGCCTCAACGAGGCTCCCAGGAAGCTCCCAGGAGGCCCCAGGAGTGTCCCCATAGGCTCCCAAGATGCCCCCTCCTCCGCCTCCTCCTTCTCCTCCACCTCCTCCTCCTCCGCCTCCTCCTGATCTTCCCCGCAGTCCTCCCCCCTTTGTTTCCACAATGGTTGGGGGAACACATGGTCCGATAGCTTGGCGGAGCTCTTGCCACTACGCTCGGCCACATGGGCGATTCTAAAGGCAGGGGGCGGCTGTGATTCGCCCTAGGCATCCTCGATTCACCGCCCCCCGCGGTCTTGCCACAGGGGTGCTCGGCGTGCTGAACCCTATACGCCTATAGGGTTTGGTTAGGGTTCCTTTTTTACAAAACATCGCTCCCTAAGGTTTCGGCCCGCCTTGTCTTGCCGGCCGCCGCGAAGGGACCGCAAACAACCGCCTGTAAGACGGCTCAAGGTGGCCTCCAAGACGGCCAAGATGGCCTCCAAGTTCACCCAAGGTGGTCCAAGATGGCCTCGAATACGGCCCAAGAGAGTCCAAGATGCCTCCAAGTTCGCCCGAGAAGCCTCCAAGACGGCCCAAGACGGTTCCAGAGGCATCCAAGATGCCTCCAAGACGGCCCACGAGACATCCAAAAGGTCCTCCAGAAAGTCCCGAAGAGGCCAAAATCATCAATTGTTCATGGTCTTTGACGGAACTTGGCATTTGCTTTCCGTTCCGCTTTCCGATGGCCTAAGACGGCCTAAGAGGCCTGCAAGGATCGCCCTAAGATCGCCCAAGAGGCCTCCAAGAGGCCTCCAAGACGCCCACGATGGTCTCCAAGACGGCCCTGGAGCACCCCAACAAAGCAGCAAGTCGGCCCAGAGTGGCCCCCCTAGACGGCTTCCGACGGCGTCAGGCGGGCCAGGACTGCGGTGAAGACCCAAGGATGCCCCCAAAATGCCTCCAAGAGGCTCCGAGGAAGCTCCCAGGAGGCCCCAAGAGTGCCCCCAGAGGCTGCCAAGATGCCCCCTCCTCCGCCTCCTCCTGATCTGCCCCGCAGTCCTCCCCCAAGTGTTCCCCGAAGGGTTTCTACAACGGCTGGGGGAACACATGGTCCGATAGCTTGGCGGAGCTCTTGCCACTACGCTCGGCCACATGGGCGATTCCAAAAGGCAAGGGGCGGCGGTGATTCGCCCTAGGCATCTTCGATCCGCCGCCCCCTGTCGATGTCTCACAAGGGTGCCTGGCGTGCTGAGGTTCAGGGAATTGTCGGGTTGGGTTCTTTTCCCAGAGGGCTCCCCCTGGGGCTTCGGCCCAGTGCGCCGTCCACCCGGAAACCCGCCGACATGTTGTCTTCCTTTGCCCAAATCGCCTCCAAGACGGCCAACATGGCCCAAGATGGTCTCCAACGTGCCTCCAAGACTGCCAAGACGATCCCAGGAGAACCCACGATGGCCCCAAAATGCAATAACAACGGCCCAAGATGCACCCACGACGGCCCAAGATGGCTTCAAGATAGTCCAAGACGACCCGAGAGTCCTCCAAGACGGCCCAAGAGGCCCACAAAAGGGCATCCAGGAAGGCACGAGGAGGCAGAACCTATTGACTGTCATTTGGCTTTTTTACTGAGTGTGGCATTTGCTTTCCGTTCCGCTCTCCGATGGCCCAAGACGGCCTAAGAGGCCCCAAGGATCGGCCTAAGATCGCCCAAGAGGCGTCTAAGATTGCCCTATAAAAGGCCCACACGGCCTCCAAGACGGCCCCAAGAAGGCCCAAGGCGCCTCACAGGCCTCCAAGACGCCCAACATGGCCTCCAAGACTGCCCTGAAACACCCCAAGAGGGGCCCAAGAGAACCCCAAGTCAGCCAAAGAGACTCCCAAGAAGCCTTCAAAGGCCCCCAAGAGGCCCACGGAGGCCCACAGGAGGCCTCCAAGAGGCCCCCAGGAAGCTCCCAGGATGCCCCAAGAGTGCGCCAAGTGGCTGCCAAGAGGCCTCCTCCTCCTCCTCCGCCTCCCACTTCTCCTCCTTCTCCATGTTCCTCCCTCTCCTCATCCTCCTCTTCCTTCCCCCACGTGTTCCCCGAAGGGTTTCCACAATGGCTGGGGGGAACCCATGGACCAGTAGCTTACCCAAGCTTTGCCCAAACGTATGGCCACTTGGCGTATCCTCAAAGGCAGGTGGCGGGCTTTGATTCGCCGTTGGCGTCTTCGATAAATTGAAGGAGCGGGTGACCCAAGGAGGCCCTGACGCAGGGGGGGCTCTTGTAAGTATAATTGAGCGGAGAGGGGGTTGGGCGAAACAGCAACAATGTTGCTGGGGCGCAACAGCATTCATGTGTCTTTCGATGGTTATTCGGGCTTCGGTGTGGCGTTCGGAGGAATATACTTCAGCTAGTAGAAGGCGGCAAAGGACAGAACCTCCCCATTCGGTTCCCCACGATCACCAATATTAGCGCGCAGCCCTTGTGCTCGTTGCGGCAGCACCACTCCAACTGCTCTTGGGACCAATCGCCAGTGCTCTCGGGGTAGCCTGTCGTGCAATCAAACGACAAGTCCGAGGTCACCGCCGCGACCGGGTCCACGCGCTGACCCATGGGGCTGATACTGAAGTCGCTGAAGACCACAGAAGCAGCACAGGCACTCGGCTCGTCCACAGCGCAGGGGCCTTGGCCGTCAGACCCAACGCCGTCCAGCCATGTCATGTCGTCGCTGGCCCAGTAATTGATGACGGGGGTCATTCCAGCTGCCAGAGCTGCGCCCACGCTCAGCATTCCAGAATACTCGCCGACGAGCATATCAAGGTTGCACTCGTGACCAGGCTGCGACAGAGTGACAGACATTGACTGCAATTTGCCTTGGCTGTTGATCGGGAAGGACGCTGACACCTGGAAGGGTTGAGACGTGTCGATGCACCTGCCATTCGGTCCATAGTCGCTGCTCGAGAAATCGCGCGGACCATCGAACGTGCTCTCTCCGCCAAAGCCAGCTGTCGCGCCAGAAGGATCTGTGGCGGTGTGGAGAGTGGAGCGCCAGGCGTACTGGTTGGCCTCCTGTGAAGGGAACGGATCGGGCCAGCGAAAAATCAGAACATCCCGCATAGATGCCACTCAAGATGTGGCTTCCCCCTGGCTCTGGAGAACCCGCCACGAGGCGTCCTGGGTAAGGGCACTTCTCCTGCCCAGACAGCAAAGCGCGAGGCGCAAGTGTTTTCGCGCCCTTGCGTGTGACATCCCCTAGGTCCGACGTCATGAAAAACAATGGGGGACATGATGAAAAGAACAACCAACATCTCCGACTCCATCCTGAGACAGGATATATCAAGCTGGTTGCCCGTTCGTCTTGGCATGGCTTCTCAAACTTGGCCCAAGCTCATCCGATGCACTTGGCAAGTCGTCCCGCTGAACGGACCGCAACGTCGATGACATGACCCGAGTCACCAAAACATGCAGCATCACATGATCGCTCTAAATCGTTAGACTCAGCTGCGCAACTCAATTTCTACTTGCACGTCGCTCAACCGATGATCGGATCTGAGCGATCATTGGATGGCACCTGGCCAGGGATGCTGGTGGTGGCGAGCAACAACACAATCAATGGGACGCAGGCCGGAAGACCCCAGGAGATTGCGACTGCCGAAGACCTTCCAAATCCTGACAGACGACACGCGTGTCACCCGCTCTCGTGAATTACGCCTCCCGAGCGCAGTCAAGAGGAACAGAGAAGACGACCACAACCGCTGGGCTGAGGGAGCCGCCCCTGGCGCCGACAATCCCGACCCCCCAGCGGTGATGACCTGCGCACGCTTCCCGTTCTTGAATGCCAGGCGCAGGTCAGCACCGCTTGGGGGGTCGACGTCGGCAAGGGGGGGCGCCAGGGGCGGGCTCCCTCAGCCCAGCGGTGGTCATTGTCTCTGTCGCCCATGACGTATGGATGCCCTCTGTGAAGCGATCCTGGATGTTCACTTCGGTGCAGGGCGTGCCACAGGTGAGGCTGGAGTCGCAGAAGTAGTCGGCGCAGGCGCCCGCCTCCTCGTTCTGCCGCATGGACGCGAGGGAGAGCGCCACGTTGCACCCACAGCCTGTTCACGGTCAGCAATTCGTGCTTAGCGTGTCGCGGCGGTTGTCCCGGGGACACGCTATGCCCTGCGAGCGGAAAGCGTGTCACAACGCACCTCGGGGCGGGATGCCTGGAAACATTCGGGAGGTTGACGCCTAAGGACCGGAACGTGGGTAGCGTGTCGCACCTGCGCCGAAACGTGGTGGGCCAGAACCGGCGGAACGGCACGACGACCAAAACATGCTGACCGTAGCATGAGCAAAACGGGTCCCGAGAAAAGAGGTTGCTGATGATTTTGTTCGCCATTTTCGGACCCCTGGAACCCCCACGGGCCCCAGGCCCCGTCGGCAGAGCGACTCAGGATGACCGCTGTGACACCAGCAACGGTCCGATCCCTGCGTCCTCCTGCCCTGGGACATCATCTGCCTTTGCTAGGGGGCACCAACTGTCAACCTTCACTGATCCTGGTCATGCTGCCCGTCCTCCAGCCATCGAGTCCTAGCCTGTAAAGCGTACATGCGGATCCCTGGGTCTCGGGTTTCGCGCGCGGTCACCCTCGCGCGTCCCGCGCAACTCCCCCGGGAGGACATCGACTCCCTGACCCGGGCCGCGAAGCGCGATTACGTGCGCTCCCTGCGGGTGGCCTGGCAGCCCGATTCACCCTGATCGGCCTGCCCCATCACCCTCGTTCCGCGAGGGAGTCGTGGATGGACAGAGCCCCCTTTCGCAAAACGTGGTCTAGTGAAAACGACCTCGGGCCCAAACCTGTCGGGCCTAAGCCTGGACAATGACCACCGCGGCGCCCTCTCGAGAACCGAAAACGGACAATTCACTAATCGACGTGTCAGGGTGGGGGTTCTGTCCACCCCCGAGAAAGGGCAGGGAGCGGAGAGCGCCAAGGCGTCAGTAGAGCATTTTAATGAAATCGTACCTCTCGCACTTTCCACGTCCCTCCGCGCGGCCAGTGGTTCGGGGCCGTCGGCGAGAGCCATGCGTAGACATCTGAATTAGCCAAGGTAGACCTGGTCCGGATAGAGCCTCGTTAGGTGTCCCCAGGTACCGCTGGATCCAGAACAACTCCTGCTTCAGAAGGGTACTGGACAGTATCTGCATGGCAGAATGTACTCCAGGGAAGACTCCAGTTGAGTGCAATTTACTGGCAGTCCAAGGCAACTCCAGCGCAACAGCGGGAGGCCCGAATCAGTTGTTATCCCTGTGCCCCTCTGCCCTGCTGGCTCGGGGCTCCGATTGGTGGTCCCCAAACGTGGTGGTGAGAACACCCGGTGGTGAGTTTTGGGCGATTCGGGTAATGGTTTTCGAGCGCTGGCTGGCCCAGGAAACGCAAAACCTCGTGGCGACCGCGTGTCCCCAAACCCGGTGGCGACCCAGAATTATTTTTTGGGGGAATCGGGGTCACCACCGGGTGTCTCACCACCTGGTTTGGAGACCACCAATCCGACCTGCTCCCAAAGCCTCCCCCGGTGCACGGCCCGGGGGGGGGGGGCAGAAGTCGGGCCAGCTTCCAGGACGCTGCCGAAGAAACGCCCGGCGCCAACACCTAGGAGGCAACTTCAGGGAGGACTTCGAATGGCTGCAAGATATCAAACCCGATTCGACAACCATTGAACCAAATTGGGGGCTGGATTCAATGGGGGATGAAGCCGGATGAGGCGGGATTGTGCCAAATCAGGCCAGTTGTCGACACCAGACATACCAGCGTCGATGTTGAATTTCACATCCCAGGATATGCACGCTGAAGACAGGGGCCTGTCAAGACCACGACAGACTTCCAACCTTCAAACACGGACCACATTTGTCTGGCGACGTCGCCCGCACCAGCCCTACCAATGCCGTCCCCCGTGCAAACGTCGGGCCAACTTCCAGGACGCTGCCGAAGAAGCGCACATGTCCTGCCGAATCCCTCACGCTCGCGAACAACAGCCCGAAGGCCCCAGACCTGCACGGTGGGAAGACTGTTCTGGTCTTGAGGCTGGCGCAGCGGCAGCTGCGACACGCCGCCTGCGCCGCTGAGGTCCACGCTGTACCTCAGCGTCTTGCCCAGCAGGCCGAGGCCCAGGTAGGCCTCCCGGCCGCAGACGCGGGGAGCTGTGCCCCGAGGCGGGCGGGCGGGAACGGATGCCACGAGCAAGGCGCACATCTCCACATCGACGCCCTCGCGGCCTGAACTCCCGGGCGCGATCCCGCGGATACGCGGTCGCGTGCATGCGTTCCGCGCGGAGCATCCGCGAACAGAACCGGCCCGCATCGAAGGGGTCGCGGCCCAGTGGCCTGGCCCGCGATGCCGCAGAGTTGCGGTTGTGTTGCCAGCCCACGAGGAGGGAGGAGAGGAAGGCGAGGGTAGGGTATCGAGGACGCCGGTATCGAGGGCGCCACCTGTCCGCCAGATTCGACTCTGGCCAGGCTCACCTGATGCCCAGGAACAGTGCGTGCGCCCTCATGGCCTGACTGCCCAGGACCAGTCCAAGATCGGTGCAGGGGCGGCTAGGTGGAAAGGGAGTGGGGTAACCAAGTATGGTCACATCACGCTGTAACACGATGCTATCATCGATGCGTTTCGCTTGGTGCGCACCCATCTGACGTCCACATTAACCATTAACGGTCTGGTTTTGCAGAGACCAGCCTTGTGCTTATCCCATTAAAAAGGGCCCAACACCTGAGGATTGGCAATTGAGGGAACCGTAATCTGGGAGTGTAAATCAAGACGACCTTCTGGGATTACGTGTTGTGATGTTGAGAAATTCCAGATTCTCTGCACGATGTTAAAAAGTATAGAAAGTCGCTTCGGAATGTACGGGACTCATTTCGCTTCAACCAAAAATATTATTCAATCCCCGAAAACTCGGAAATTACTTTTTGGACATAGGGCGCAGACTCAGACTTTCTGGCACGCCTGGCTTCACGATCGGAATGTCCAGAATCATGAAATTGTGGCGATTGGAAATCCTGGGGTGAATCTCCGTGTCGCTGGTCAGCTTGGTCGAGGGTCGCGAGGCGAATTTGAAATCGCGCAATTTGACGCCGATTAGAACGGACCTCACGGAACCAGCGCGGTCAAACTCGGAAAGCATTGCACGTGTGGTTACTCAATGAAATCACAATCTTCAGAACTAGCACCACGCATGTTTACCAGTCACCTCTGTCGGACCGCTGGCCAGTTGGCGTCCCCCAAAGGGGATGGCGGCACAAAGCAGAGGCAAGCACCTTCGATTCTAAGAACCGTGCGGGAATGGAACGTGCATCCAGTCGGGCCGCATTGGCATGGAACCGACTTGGCGGATCGGATCGACCGCACCAGAAGACGCAACAATGGGACCTCATCGGGCCGTCGGAAAAACTTGGCGGCGCCCAGCGGCGCCTAAAAGGGGGTGGCGCAGGGGGGGGGGGCTTCTAAGAAGGCGGAGGGGCTTCTTAGAAGGCAGGGGCTTTCTTAGAAGGCCCTGGAGGCTCCAAATAAGGTTTCACAAAAGCCGCGCGGGCTTTGAAGAACCCCCCCTGCATTCTTAGAAAACCCGCCTCCTACTTAGAAGGCCCCCCAGTCGCGCCACCCTCTCTTCGGGACCCCAGAACTGCTTGGTGACGGACCGCATGGTGATCTCGGAATCCCCAACGATCTCACCACACGGTGTTGGGACCTCGGAGGCACCAATCGCCCGAGACGTCCTCGGAGAACGACCCGAGTTCCAAAACCGTGAGGTAACCCCGACTCCCCACTGACTCACCATGCGGTATGGACACCACACCGTTTGGGGGCCTCTGGCCTTTGTGGGCGGCGCCACAAAAACCCGATCGGAAAAGGACCAACCGAATCGACGAGGGGTCTGGGGGAGGGCCTCCCGGCTGTAGACGCCGGGGGTGGCGCACGACTCGGCGAAGTAGCCCCGGAAGCCCAGGTGGGGCGCGACCTCGCCGCGGCCGTTTTCGCCGTCGCGGTCGTCGCAGGCGTAGTCGTCGTCGCCGCATTCGGTTGTCGTCGTCGTGGTCGTCGTCGTCGTCGTCGTCGTCGTCGTCGTCGTGGGCTTCGTTGCAGGCGCAGTCGTAGCCGTCGCCGTCGTCGTGAGAGGGATCGACCGCGCCGTTCTGGGCGGCGTCGGGCGCGCCGCGCGCGTCCACTTGCCGCTGCATGTCCGTCCCCCAGCCAGTCGGGATGATGCTCACCTGCCGACGGAGAAGCAAAAACAGGTCTCACGCGAGAGCAAATAGCGACATGACGCGGCATTGCGCCGCGGCTTACGTGATCCGCCAGCGTGGCACACCGCGCGAAGAAGAGGGCGCTCACGCGCGACCTTACGCGAAGCTTACAGAACCCCAGCAAGGGCGGCCCAGGAGAGCCCCAGCATGGGCACAAAAAGCCCACGAAGACCCCAAGAGGGCTTCAAAATGGCGGCTCTGCTTGGTGGAGACGAGTCGGATCGGGTCGGTACGGCTCTGCTCAGGGGCATTGCCAAGGGGGCAAGCTTCGAAGCACGCAGGAGGCTTCTTGGAAACCCTCCTCCGGCGTCGCATTTCTGTTCGTGACGTGGCCCTCCAGCGACACTTACCTGCCCTCTGGGTGGAGGTGGTTTAGGGCTTTCCTTCTTCCAACTGTTTTCCCAAACCCTCCTGTGTGTTGGGTCCTCGTTTTGAATTCGCAGCGCCAAGCGTCTCCTCCTCCCCTCCTCCCCTCCTCCACCTCCTGTGTGTTGGGCCCTCGTTTTGAATTCGAAGCGTCATCATCATCATCGTCATCATCATCAGCATCATCATCACCGTCATCATCATCAACACCATCATCATCATCATCATCAGCACCATCATCATCATCATCATCATCATCATCATCATCATCATCATCATCACAACCACCGCCAAGATCATCATCCTCATCATCATCAACACCATCTCGTCCACATCATCATCAGCAACATCATCATCATCATAATCATCATCATCAGCATCATAATCAACCTCATCATCAGTATCAGCATCAGTAGCAGTATCATCATCATCAACATCATCACCTTTAGCATCATCATCATCATGATCATGATCATGATCATCATCATCATCATCATCATCATCATCATCATCATCATCATTATCATCAACATCGGCATCAACATCAACATCATCGTCTTCACCATCATGATCGTGGCACCATAGGGAGCTCCACCGAGGCTCCAGTGGCAGGGTTCGCATGCGTACCCGGGACAATTGCGTCACCGCTCTTACAATTTTCGTGGCCCCAAAAGAGCTCCACCGAAGGCTCCACTGCTGGCAGGGTTCGCATGCGTACGGGAGTTCATTGCGGCAAACCCTTCACACGTTTCGTTGCCCCATTGGGAGCTCCACCGAAAGCTGTAGTAGCAGGGTTCGCATGCGTACCCGGGTCCATTTCGGCACACCCCTTACATGTTTCGTGGCATTATAGGGAGCTCCACCGAAGGCTCCAGTGGCAGGCTTCGCATGCTTACCAGGGTCCATTGCGGCGCACCCCTCACACGTTTCGTGGCCCGTAAGGGAACTCCACAGAAAGCTGCAGTGGCAGGGCTCGCATGCGTACCAGGGTCCATTGCGGCACACCTCTCACACGTTTCGTGGCCCCATTGGGGTCTCCCCCGAAGGCCCCAGCGGCAGGGTTCGCATGCGTACCCGGGTCTATCTCGGCGAACCCCTCAAACGTTTCGTGGCCCCGCAGGGAGCTCCACCGAAGCCCAAGTGGCAGGGTTCGCATGCGTACCCGGGTCCATTGCGGCACACACCACACGTTTCGTGACCTCGTAGGGAGCTCCACCGAAGGCCCCAGTGGCAGTGTTCGCATGCGTACCAGGGTCCATTTGCTCCACCGAACGCCTCAGTGGCAGGGTTCGCATGCAGTGCCACCCTCATTTCGGCGCACTCCTCACAAGTTTCGTGGCCCCGCAGGGAGCTCCACCGAAGGCCCCCGTGGCAGGGTTTGCATGCAGTTTCACCCTCATTTCGGCGCACCTCTCCTCGTGTCCGACTTGAGTAGTGAGTGCGACTGCGTGCGTGACTAGAACGGCTTGAAGTCTAGTTTTTCGTTTCTCGGCGAGGCGTCCAGGAACACTGCAGATCCTTCAGTGCGTTCGTGTGCATTGAGCGTTCCGGCGCCTTGTCGCCATTTGTGAACAACGGGTTGGGTGCTACGCCAGGGTAGTTGTTAACTCCTTCTTCCCCTTGGGAGAGGGGGTTACCACTGCTCCTTGCTTACGAATGAAGACCCCCTCACTCACTCGTTCCGGCCCCAACCCAGGTCAACAATACCACCTACCCCCCCCCCCACAATCCCTCTCAAAAACAGTACAACGTGCACTTTGGGACTGAATCTGCATCATGCTCGGGCATCCCATGGTCATTTTGCGTTGTTATTGTTCGCAGGGAATGGGGGGGGCAGCGTATTGCCCCGCGTGCGCAGGCTCGCCGAGCACGTTGTTGCCAAACCCTGGACGGTGCGCGGGCTCTCCGCGACCAGTCGGCATTACTAATTGACAGGGATGGTGGGAGCGTCCGGATCTCAGCGGGCGTCCGCCCCCTCACAAACGCGTGCGCCCCCCCTTCTCCCCTTCGCGCTCCCTGTGAGAGGTATTGGAGGGCCTGGAAACGGGCACCAACACCAACACAGGGGCTTGCCTCCACAGGGGGAAGATGATCCTAGATTCGGTGTTGGTGGTAATATTTCGGTCGCCTTGGAAGCCATAACATTACCACCATCGCCGAGATCGGGATCCTCTTTCCTCGGTGGGGGCGCACCGCCGATCTTGCTGTGGGTGCCAACCTCTGGGCCTCTGAAGGCAGGGGGGGCCCCCTGCTTTCGGAAGGCCGCCCACCGAGTCCTGCCAGCCGCCCCCTCCCCCCCCTTCTGCGCCGCCCCCTCACCGGGCCCTTCCGTTCTAGACCCCCACGGGGAAGCGCAAGGTGGCCAAGAGACCTCTCGGACGGGGAGGCCTGGCCCGGCGCTCCCGCTCCGGGCCCCCCCCGAACCCAGCGCCGGAGCGCACCCTCGCAGCAGCGCCTCCTCGGACGCGGGCCCCCGTCCCGAGCCTCACCTGGCGCGCTGGATTTTGGCGGCACCCGCTGAGAAGAATGCTCACCCGAGACCTCCGGCGCCTCCGCGCTTTCGCGGCGCGGATCCCTGGAGCCCTGGACCCCATCCCAATAACCGCGCTCCGCCAGCATCCTCACACATATAGTTTCCCGGGCATGCTCCCAGGACGCTGACATCACAAAAGAACGTCGTGATAGATTCGCGCAGCCTGGAGGTCTGCGGATCGCGGACACGGGCCCCCCTCCCAAAGACATAACGCCAGAGTTGCACCCTTCGCGCGGCACAGCCTTGGAGAACATTCGCAATGTACCGCAGCGGGGGCCTCAAACCCGTTCGTTTATCGAACATTAGATACATAGAAATCCCGCTGGGAGAGATCTAAATGGCACTCTCGTCTTCCTATGGGTCTGCGAGGCCATCGGGGAATAGAACAAAAGCTGGCAACCTTGGTCTCACATCTTCAATGCCCGCCGTGAACGTCTAGCTCGCGACTTCTGCATCCCGGCTCGCCTGCTCCTTCAGAGGATAACTAAAAAAATACAATGAATGTTCGGGGGCTTCACGCGGATTTCGTTCGGCGCTGGACACCCCCCTCCCTGACGCGCGGAGCGCGCCCAGGGCGGTGCTGGAGGCGCCGCCAGGGGGTCCAGCGTCGATCCAGCAGATCCGCGGGGAGCCCCGAAGATTCTCTGAACAGCTTTCCCATAAAAGGACCGATGCGCTTCTTCGAATGCCCGTGGGGGATGCGGGGCCCCCGACATCGATGGCCCATCGTGGCCCCCCATCGTTGGCCCCCATCGTGGCCCCCCTCGTGGCCCCCACCCGTCATCTGTGTAAAGCTGTTCGCGGTCGTCTGCCGGCAGGGTGTCATGTCTGCTCCCTGAAATCCGACGTTGCGAAGGAAGCTGCCACCCTGCCAGCAAAAAACACGCCAGAGCTCCGAGGACAATCTGTCTGCTGCACTTTTCGAATAGGAAAACTGCGACGACCAGATCTCAGGGAAGGGCGGGTTGAGACGACGGCACCCCGCAATCGGTCCCCCGACTCCTGCGGTCCACACGCACCAATTTCGCGAGCTTCGTCCAGCCGTGGCGACGAGGTTCCCCCCCGAAGGCCATCTGCCGTTGCCTCGACTCGCCCTTTCCTAACTTCTGCCACAAGAGTGTCACGTGTTGAATTCAAAACGAAAGAAACATAAGCTCTGAGAGGTCCGCGCAATTCAGAATACCCGGTGCCCATTGAACCCAGCCCCCCTCCGTCACCCCCCTCCCCCCACCCTCCCCCCCTTCGGCCCCCACTCCCCCGCCCCACCTCCCCCCCGCCCCTCCCCCCCGGCCCGAGCGCGGTGGCGGAATCGAGCAGCAGCGCAACTGGATAAACAACTCGAGGAGGTCTGCGCGAATTTCTTGGATCGGTGCTGGCCCCCCAGGGCGAGCTCCGCGCGCCAGGAAGGGAAGCCTGGCGCCGATCCAAGAAAACCGGGCGGACCTCCGACGGCTTGCTTGTAAGCTGCTTTGTCCCATCCGGTTCGTGCAGTGCATTAATTCTATGTGCAAAACTTGCGTCCATACCCACTGCAGCTTGGAGTTTCGGGCTCCCTTCCTCAGAAACCCGAGGCGCACTGGATTTGCACATTCGTCTGGTGCCTATAGGACCGACGTTCATCCGTATCCAGTGTGCCTCGGCCTTGCGGCGCCCCTTCCAACAGCCTCCAAGACACCCCGGATATGGCTACACAGAGTGCCCGCGCGTGCCGTGTTGTCCCACTCGATTCGTGCAGCGCTGCATTCTTCGATCCTCCAGCCCGCCCACGGCCAGCGCCACCGGGCACCCCGCGGCCGCCGCCGCCTCCTGACCGGCGGCCCGCGCGGCGAGGGCCGCCGCGGCGGCGGCCAGGGCGCCACGCTGGGGCCACATCTGCGCTCTGCCGCCCGGGGGGGCGCCGGCCGCGCACCCCTATAGGTGGAATCCCGGACCGCCCGCCGAGTCGGGAAAAAATAGGTGGAGCCACGAAGCAGGAAGGCGTTGGAAGTACACAGGTCCGGTCTCCGCCCGCCCCGCCCCCTGAAGCGGAGGGACGAGGGAGAACCACTCGACTCCTGCAGTGGGAGAGCGACTCTTGAAGTGAGAGTGGGATCTGGGAGTTCAAAGATACATACTTTCAGCGACCGGCGTGCACGGTGTCGGCGTTGGACAAAGAACCCTTAGACCCTCAGACAAGGAACCCAGGGTCTGGAAGCTGGTGGAAATCCAATCGCGGATCGGCCATGGATATCACCGCCGCCCTCATCAATCAAGGAATCCTCGTGGGTCTGCAAGCTCCTGGGCACATTCCATTAAGAACGGCCCACAGTAGCTGCGAGGTCTTCGTCAGAGCAATGTTTCGGGTACTGCAAGAAGTGCCCCTGGCCCAAGGGGCCCCCAAGGTATCCAAGGAGGCCCTCGGCCTTCAGAGCACCCCTCGCGAGGCCCCGAGAACCCCAGGGGCCTCAAAATTGAGCGAAGAGCCGGAGGCCCCTTGAGCCAGGGGCACCTGCATCAACCTCCGACTGTTGTTCAAGCCCGATCAAAGCGAAAAGCGCGACTACGGGCGAGAAGCGCGACTACGGGCGTCTCCGAAGATGCCTGGACGCCCTGATCCTGCCCTCTGGGCCCCCAGGGGCCTCTCGGGGGCCTCCATGGACGCCCGCGGGTCGGGATCTGGGGCGGAACTCAAACTTGCCACGCTGGATCGTGCCGTGCTTCTCTGGCCCCCGAGACCGCGAAGCGCGAGGCGCGGTCCCAGGCATCCCTAGGCGCCCCTGGGCCTCTCGGCCCCCTCCCCTCTGGTCCGGCCCCTCACTCCTTGGGAGGCAGCTGGTGGGAGGTCCTCGTGAGAAGGAGCAAGAACTGTTCAGCCAGATTACCCCATTGGGCCAAAATTGGCCGTAACTGCGCTCGGGATCTCGCCCAGCCTATCCGGATCCAGGGGGATGGAGCGAGCTTCGGCCGCATCTCGTCCGAGGCCCCTGGGGCGCTCTCTGGAAAACCCCCTCCCCCCCAAACCCCCGTTGAAACCCTCCTCCTCCTCAAACCCCCGTTGAAACCCTCCTCCTCCTCCTCCTCCTCCTCCTTTTCCTCTCCCCTCCTCCTCCTCCTCCTCCTCCTCCTCCTCCTCCTGCTCCTGCTCCTGCTCCTCCTCCTCCTCCTCCTCCTCCTCCTCCTCCTCCTCCTCCTCCTCCTCCTCCTCCACGGGCCGGCCCCAGGGCCGGCCCGAGCCGTCTCTTCGGACGGCCCCCAGGGGACCAACCGTGGCCTCCGGAGGCCAGGCACGGCGACAGGCCCGCCGCCACGGTGTGTTGCTGCTCGGAGCGCCAGGCGGCGTGGGCTGCCTGCGCGCCCCTGCGGGTGGCGCAGGGCTTCCGGGGCCCCGCTGGCTCTGCCAGAGCAGGGCCTCACGTGTGCGACGGGCGGAAGCGGGGCTGACGGAATACGACGCAGCGAGCTCACGCGGTGGCTCACGCGGGCCTCCAGCGCGGCACGCTGCAGTGGCAACGAAGGCGCTTACGCGAGACCTTACGCGGGCAGCTTACGCGCCAATGTAGGTGAAGACGACCCCAGTTTCCACCGTCACTCGAGCGCAGTCTGTTGGTTTGCACTCAGCTTTCCGAGCGGCGCGCTCTGTTCGATGATCCTCAGGACGCGTGTTGGCGCCAACGTGTGCTTGCCCACCGAGGCGACTTCAATGCGACGCAGGCGGCGCAACGAGGGCCGCCGCGGGCTGCGCGATATCGGCGGAGCCGAACGGGGTGAACACAAGGCCAGGCTGACACACGTCCTGAGGATCATCGATAATGGAGGATGACGATTAATAAATGACCGGGGGTCGTGTTCACGCGGTGGCGCCCGGGATGACGATTAGAAAAACCGGCCGCGGGCTGGAAAACTATTCGTTTTAATCGTTCTCCGCCAGTCAGAAAATTGTGCAGAAATAGCAGGCAACTATTTTTCTAATCGTTCCCCCCCATTCTTTGTATTAATCGTCATCCCGCATTACGTGAACGAAATACTGTGAGAGTTGTCTTCTGCTCGTTCGACGTGCTTCCCTTTGTGACAGCGTGGGGCGGCGGCATTCGGGAGATCGGTGAGGGTGCGCAGCTGGCGCCCCCGGAGCCTTGCGGGCGCGCGCGCCTCCCGCACACCTCGGCCGGTTCGCTCGCGACGGGGTCCGCGGGCCGGTGTGCAGCGAAAACTCTTGGCGCCAAAGGGTCAGGCCGGGGGGGGAGAGAAGAGGGGCGGAGGGAGGAACAGGCAGGATGGAGGGAGGGAGAGGCGGAGGCGGAGGGGACGTGGGGAGCGGGCTCCTGCCTCCCTCCACGCGCGGCTGCCCCATGCGTTCAAGGCTGACGTTCTCCCGGCGCAGCACTCAAAGCCCACCCTGGGTGCACGGGAGATCTGGCACCTGAAGCGCCAGCCTAAACCTGGAGGCGAAATGCAGACGCACGCGAAGATGCCCCTGGCATCGCATTCACTATGCGACGCATGAGTTGCACCTACGAGAACGGGTAGGGATGGAGAGAGAGAGAGAGAGAAACAACAAAAAAACGACTGGGTATCTGCCCGTCCTCCTCCTCCTCCTCTTTACTTGCCCTCCTCCTCCCAGAGAGGAGGACACGGCAAAGGCAGGTGGACTCAACACTCCCCCGACGGACTGGGCCCGACCGCACCCGCCGTCACCGCGGCTTCGGACTTCCCCGGGGACCTCAATTTTCGACACCTTCCCAGAGGAGACCGAATCCACGGGGTCGCATGGTAAGTCCGCTACGAGAGCCCTCCGTTTCATCCGGAGCCGAGTCATCCAGACGAATTCATCCGAGACGACTTCATCTGCTCAAACTCGTCCGGAGAATTTCTTCTGGACGAACTCATCTGAGGACGAACTCATCCGAAGACGAACATTCTCGACGACTTTATCCAAACAACTCATCTGGACGATGTTCGTCCGGAACTCATCGCGGGAAAAATCGTTCGGGATGAGCTGGTCGCCCTCCAGTACGGCCTGTCCGGCAAGTGCTCCATGCGCCCACCACGGCACTAGGCTCGTTGGTTGGGGGCCAACCTTACTCCCGCCGGCTTCCGCGGACGCTCCGACTCCGCCAACACCAGTGCACACCGTCCGCTTCCTCCGTACGCGCTGACCTGCCCTGTTCCTCTGCCAGCAGAGCCAAACTGCCGTCACGATCCACTTCTGCGGGCATCCGCGGACCTCCTGCCAGCTCCTGCCGGGGGGCAACCTGCGGATGATGGTGCCAGTGGTGCTGGTCGCGCTCTGCTCTGGTGCTGGTGCTGCTGCTGCCAGCCCCTGAGCGCCTGGGAAAGGAACAAGACAAGGCGGCACCACACCACCACCAGCGCGAGGCGCCAGGGAGGGTCTTCCAATTTTCTGAGACGTAATAACTCGTCGGGCGAGTGTGGTGAGAAGACCGGCATCGCGTTGTAATATACACTTAAAATCCGCTGCGGCGGAAAACCCTTCAAATCGTGTGGCGTTTGGGACAGACCATGGATCTTTCAACAACCACACCGACCTGACAATCAGCACCTCGGAATATGAAACAAGTACCGCGGTGAGAAGGACAACGGTCGGCAAATGCTTCAACATCAGTCGGCCGAAAACGCCCTTCAACGTTGGATGGGTTCGGCAAACGCTTCACATCGGTTTAGACTACAGCCCCTTGAACTCCCGTGAGGGATCCCAGCTTGCACGGTTCCCCGGCTCTCCCAAGGGCCTGACATCCCCAGGGGCGGGATCCCATGCTGGGAGCTCAGCATCCCAAATGACCTCACATCTCCAGGGAACACCAACCTTGGGCGGCGCTGACCCTGCGTCGGCTGGAATCTACCGACTTGCGCGGTACAGATGGCGATACGGGTGGGGGGCACGGAGAGTGACAGCGAAGAGATGACGGCGACTCGCGAACTTGGCATTAGCAAAGCTGCGAGCGTGTGTCCGGGAGCATGACTTCGACGGGCGCGACTCCTGCACTGTGCCGAGGCGCTATCATTCGACACATGCTTCTATACCCTCCATCCTCCGCCTCCCCCTCTCCCTACTCCTCCGCACGCCCGGCACGAGCAAGAGATGCTTGTACGAAATACAGGTCGCATTTCGAGGCGACGCTCGGCCTTCACGCTACGACTGGGCGGGCACGCCTCGGCCTTCACAAAAAAAGGGGATGGGCCCTCGGAAATGCAACAGAAAACGCATGTGAGGGAGGATGGATGGGGGGAGGGAGGGAGGAAGGGGGAAGACGACGAGGAATGTGGAAGGGCAGGATCCGGATGCGGACGGCAATCGCTTGAAGCCTCGCTACGACGACCCCTTCAAACAGCGCTGATGGCAACGTAGCGTGCCACGTGGGCAAGAAGAAAGCTCGGCTGCGTTGGGAACGCACCTGCTACAACCATGTGGTCGCCAAGATGATGACAGGGTCCATGTCCATGCGCGGCGCCCTATTCAGGCCCCAGCGCAAACGTGCTCACATTCAGAGATTCCCCCCAAACAAGCCCCTCAGCGTAGCAGCCCCGGGCCGGCGCGTCACCGACCGCCCAGAATGGACCTCTCTGGAGTACACACCCCCTTCCCGCTGTACCCCCCACCTGCATCTCCTACCGTCTTAGCCCGAGGCCGACTGCTGCTACTGCTACTGTCCTACCTGTCAATGGCAATCTGCCGACGTCTCTGACGAGAGTGGAATTGTGCTTTGGATGCCAGCAGCCGTGCCATTGAGGGCGACCGCTGTTCACGTCCAAGCGTGAAAATGACGAGCAGCTGAACTTGATTGGCCACAGCCACAACTGATTATGACGAGCGCGCGCCCCAAACAACACGACGAACTGGCAGCAAAGACCGCTTCCGCTTTGTTGTAGCGGAGCAAAAAAGGTCTCCAACATATCCTCGAGCCCCGGTGCGGCGCTTCGAGCCACGCCATCAGGAGTACGGGTCGACCACGCGGCACAGCCCAGCCATGATCTTCCTCTGGCTGCCATTTGGGAGGCGCACGCGGTAGAGGCCCTCCGCGGCGTCGACGATCGTTATCGTTCCCCTGACGCCGTCGAGGTCCGAGCCCGTGCCAAATATGGTCACCTCGGTGGAAGGCTGAAGCAGGCAGCAGTCGGCGTTCTTCAGAGATGGCCTCCAGACGCGCTGCCTCAGGTCTCCCAACGCGAGCGTTGCGTCGTCGCCCGCCTTGGTGTCCGCGGGCGTGGCCCTGGTCATGCCCCAGTGGTCGCAGATCGTGGACGCGACAGACTTTGGCGAATTGCAGTCCGCTTCCTCCTCCTCCTCCTCCTGGCCACTGGCACTGAAAGCGAGGATCGGCCGCACCTTCTCTCTGGCGTCCGGCGGCTCCGTCGAGCACGCCGAAGCGGCCCTGTCGAACGCCAAATGCGGCTGGGCCTTGGAAATCTCTGGCGCAACGGCCCTCGACAGATGATCCTCGACGGCGTGGGACTCCTGGTTCGTCGGGGTGCCCAGCACTACCGTTCCGTCTTCCCTGCCCTCGTCGCAAACCTTCGTGATGTCGGGCTGGGCGGTCGTTGGCACGGAACCGTCGATGGTTGGAGATTCCTGCTTGGCCGACCTCACCGCCGCCTGCATGGAGCTGGCGGCGTGGCGGCTCCGCCTTGCTGCACCCTCGTGTCCGCACCGCTGCTGCACCTCGGGCCCGCCCTGCCCCGCCAGGGCGGGGACGGGCGCCGGCGCCGACCAAACCTTGCGGGCCGGGCTCCGGGGCTGCAGCTCCTGACCGCGGGCCTGGTCGGGCACCCAGCCCGCGACTTGGCCGAACTGAGGCAGCAAGGGCCCCTCCGACTTCGTCGCCCTGGCGCGGCGCCCAGGTCTGCCGGGGCCCTGCCGCCGATGCACGGCAACCAGCCCGTCCGCCAGCATCGAATTCTGCACCGCGAGCTGGTTGTACGGGTTCTGCGAGAATGTGCGGCTCGTGGGCATGGCGGCAGCGCCAACTTCTTGAATTGGAGTGCCCCTCCCACGGATCGCACCCGGTATTGTACAAGGGATAATCTTGAAACTCAGAATGCGTCGTTGGCCCCCGAACTGCCACAGCCACAGCTCCCGCCCGATACTTCCTCACGATTTATTCAAACTCGCGCTCACGCGCGGGACTTCCTCACACATTCTACAAACATCGTGTTTAGGGACGTCCTCATTAAAACGCCGCACCCTCGAGACTCAGGAATGCCACTCCCGCTCTGGAGTTCCCAACGATTTACTTGGGAATCGTGTCATCGCTCGAGAGGACCTCGCTCGTGCGGAAAGCCGCTTCAGCGACCAGCCCACTCGATCCGGCCGTCTGGGCCCGCCCGGCCGACACGACTGTGCTGCTTCTTTCCCTGAAGTTAAAAACCCATCCGACGAATTTCCCTCATGCCCCATCCTTTTGCATCCCCTTTGTCCCGCCCCCCCCACCGCTTCCATGCGTAAGAACTGCATCAACTACGCGTGGCAGTACAGGGCATGGCCGAAGACGAAAAGGGGCGGGCATCGATGGGGTCAGGATATACATGTTGCGTGACACGCGAGCACACAATTGTATACAACAACGAACAATGTTGAAATGATTGCTGCTGCTGGTGCTGACTACCAAACAAGTATGAGTGTCAGGCCCCCTATATACGCCTGGGCGATCTGGCCTCGGCGCTGGTTGCACCTCTTTTTTTACATTGAGGCCCACGTTCAAACGCTTCGGCCACCGCCTGGGACCCAACAACAACGCTCCCGCGCGATACTTCCATACGATTTGCTCCGAGACGCCCTTTCCAGAGAGGGCCGAAGCTTGAGAAGGGCCCTTTCCAGAGAGGGCCGAACGATTTACGACTATCACCAGCGACCGCGGCCGCCACCACGACCACCGCGATTCTCGCGACGGTCACAAATATCGACGCCAGCACGGCCCCCAACGCGACCACCAACAGCCCGCCCACCACCAGCAACACGACCACCACCAGCCCGACCAAGGCGACCACCACGACCGCGACCACGATCACCAACATGACCATTTGAAAAGCCCCCGCCCCTGCCTCGTTCTCCCCCCTCGCCCCCCCTCCCCTGCCGCGCCGCCCCTGCCGACGCGCTCGCCTCGCGCCCATGCCCCTCCCCCCTTTCTGTTCCTCCCCATAACCTTTCCTCTTCCTCCACCAACGGAGGGGCCCTCCGCTGAGGGCGGGGGGGCCACGTTCGCGGCCCCACGCCGCGGCCGCGGAGGAGGGGTTGCCGAGGGAGAAGGACCAAACAAAAAGACAGAGAAGAGCGAAGGAGAGCAAGGAAGACGAGAGAGGAGGGAAGAAAGAAATGCCGAGGGGGGCGGAAAAAAAGGACGAGGAAAAGGTGAGGAGGGGCGGAAAATTGGTAGGAGGGAGGCCGAAGGAGGACGGACGAAGGATGAGCGTGGACGAGGACGGCGGACAAGACGAAACAGGGGCGAGGCCTCCCGGCGCAATTGAAGACAAAATCGCCGCCACTTGTGAACAGAGCAACCCGGCGCGACGACGGCCAATGCAAATTGCCTTTCGGAACAAAGCTCGGGCGCGCAAGGTCGCGAGTGCGTCGAAAGCTGGTCTGGATGCGCCGCGACCGCGCGCGTCGCTTGGGTCGTTTGTGCGTCGCGCGCAGGTCGCGCGCGAATTGCTTGAAGGGCGCCGTGGACCTCCGACGGCATGAAAGCTGCGCGGTTTGCTGGCGAAACGACTCAGACATGACCGCGGCATTCGCAAACAAAGCGAAGCGCGCACCCGACAACTACGAGCACGAAAGCGCCAGTAGACGACTTGGAGTTGCACCGTTCGCGGAAGAATCAACTGGAAGCGCATCGCGCGGCAGAATTTGGTGACGTCTCGCCCGCCGACGCACTCAGGGAAAAAAAGGAGGGGAAGTGAAACGGGGGGGAGGCGCAGAGAAAAGGGAACGGACGGGCGAGGAGGGGGCAGGCGGGGACGGCGCACTGGCGGCGGGAGCGATGGGAGGCAATCGAAGAGGGGCGGCGGGAGCGAGGAGGGCGAGAGAGAAGATTCAGGATGGTGGAAGAAAAGGGGGGAGAGTAGGGGGGGGAAGGGGGCGGCAGCCTGACTCAAAAAGACAGCGTATAATATCGCACACGGGGCAAGATGCGCAACGTGTTCGACGAGGGCGAGAGGAAGAATGAGGGGAAGGGGCAAATAGACTGGCGCGAACCGACATGGGAGTGCGGGGCGCGATGCGGCGGGGCGAAGTGGCGCCACGTCGCGCGACGCGACGTGGCCCCCTTCTTGGCACGACCCGCGCGACCCCCAATCAACACGGGGCGCCTTCGTCCTCAATTCCTCAATTGCGGCTGGCGCCCCCCGAAACGACGCACCGGCGAATGGTTTTGCGCCGAGTGGAAAACATAGCGTGTCAGTGAAACGTCGAACTACAATGCTCCACGGGCGCTGAGCTGGCTGCTGTTGCACCAGCGTCGGAAACCAACATGTCGTCAACGAAATTCCGAAGTCGCGCCGTTTGTCGCCCACGAACTCTGGGAGGCCCGGATTGGGGACGGAGACGAGAACGAGGGCCGGCGCACGAGCAACGCACGGGAGACGGACCGAACGAAACTTACCAGGGGGGTCATGTCACTGGGCCTGAACACCTGAGACTTCCTCACACAAAGACACCACAGAAGGGGTTCTTCAGAACCAGATGTTCGCTACTCGCGGATGCCAAGGCTGCCTTTTCGCATGGGGCGTCTTCGCAATTCAACACCACAAACAAGGTCCTTCAGAATATCATTGCTGCTACCCGCGGATGCCGGAACGGTCGTTTCGCTTGAGACACCCTCGCAATTCAGCAGCGCAAGAGAATCCGTCAGAGCAGTCTTGCCGTTACTTCCAGAGGCCCCAGGCAGCCTCAGGACACTCTTGGGTTATGTGTTCGGGGAGCGCTTTTCGGCCATCCCACCCCCAGGAAACACCAGGTCGCCCCAGGAGACATGTTCTGTTTTGGGATATGTGTTCGGGGAGCGTTTGTCGACGCCCCCCGCGCCCTGGAGGCCCCAGGAGACACTTTTCTGTATTGGGTTGGCGGAGCGTTTTTCGGCCCTGCAGCCCCCAGGAGGCATCGAAAAACATTTTCTGTGTTGGGATCTGCGTTCGGGGAGCGTTTTTGGGCAATCCGTCCCCAGGAGGCCCAGGAGAACACTTTTTCTGCAATCGGATATCTGTTCGGGGAGCGCTCTTCGCCCCCCCCGCCCACAGGAGGCCCCAGGAGGCCCCAAGACACATGTGTCTGTTTGGGGACATGTGTTCGGGGAGCGCCCAGGGCTTCACCCCTGTAAGCTTCGCCGCCCCGTTCCTGGGGCTGTTGGGTATGCTACTATGCGTATACATGCACATATGTATAGAAAGAGAGAGAGAGAGAGAGGGAGAGAGAGAGCGAGAGAGAAAGAGAGAGAGAGAGAGATAATAACAAACAAACAAACAAACAAGGGACAGCGAGAGAAATAGAGAGAGAGAGCGCGAGAAACAAATCTATAAAGAGACGAAGAGAGAGAAAGAGAGAGAGAGAGAGAAAGAGGGAGAGAGAGAGAGAGAGAGAATAGAGAGAGAGAAAGACATATACATAGAGAGAGAGAGAGAAAGAGAGAGAGAGAGAGAGAGCGAGAGAGAGAGAGAGCGAGAGAGGGAGAGACAGAGAGAGAGAGAGAGAAAACGAAAGAAAGCGAGAGAGAGAGAGAGATATTGAGAGAGAAAGAACGAAAGAAATATACCAACCAAGATATATATATATGGAGAGAGAGAGAGAGAGAGAAAGAGATAGAGAGAGTGTGAGAGAGAGAGGTTGAGAGAGAGAGAGAGGAACAACTCATATATATATATATAGAGAGAGAGGGAGATAACGATATCTATATATAAATATGAATATATAAAACATGAAAAGGAGAAATAAGAAAGGAGCAGCACCACCGTCGTAAGTTAATGCTGGTAAACATGGGCGCTGGGGGGTGTATTTGTATATGTATACATACGTGTAAATAAACATTTATAGATATATATATATATATATATATAGATAAAGATACATATACACATGTGTATCTATATGTATACAACTATATGTTGCCCCTCTCCTGGGGGCTCGATTCCTTTGTGTTACATACATCCCCATCCGTCGTGTATTTCCATGGGTTCGACACCACCGTGTTTCGGATCCTCACTGCTCCCGAAAGAACCAGTATGTATTGCATGTGCCGTGTGAGCAAGAACTGGAAATGTGCCTCGGGAGAGGTGTTGGCTTGACCGCCTTGGGGGGGAGATTTAGGTGTGGGAGTGCTGGCCGCGCTTTTCACATGGATCCCCCAAGAGGGTGTGGCACCATGATGGATGTACAGGGCGCATAGAATCATGGCGCGATAGGGGAAACTGATGGTTGTAATTGTCTTTCTCTCACGGACGGAAAAAACTAGTATTGTTGATCCCTCCTCTCTGGTGACCGTTGCACTTTTGAATTGAAGTGCTCCTGCCGGGGCTCGCTCACTGTCTTCGGCGGGAAAACGAAGTGTTACCAAGCTTTCTCTTTGCCCCCCTGTTTGCAACAACGGCGGCTCCAACCTTATACTTGCTCAGAAGTGATTCCAAGAATCGCGCTCTCGCACAGTACGTCCTCGCACTTTATGTGGGAATCGCGCTCCCGCGTGTGACCTCCTCGCAAGTCATTCAGACGCCGCGCTCTCGACACTTAGGAACCGTGTTATCACTCGAAATCTCCTCGCGATTCATGCAACACGCACGCTTCAACAACCCGCCTGCCCGACCTGGCCGCCTGGACCCGCACTCCCGAACCGCCCGCTAGGGTCTGCCCGTCCGATCTACCGGTCAAGCTCTGCCACGTGCTTTCTGCTCTCGTGTTCTATCATCTTCCATCCCCGTTGTCCCTTCCTTCCATCCGTCCTCCCTCCCCCTGCCTTGAAAGACACGCGAGCAGATAAGAGTGAACAGTCTTAACACGAATATTGACTTTTCATTCCTTTCAAATATATATGGTTGGTCCCCCCCTGGCTGGTATCCATTGCATCTGTTCAATAAAAGTGCTTCTCCCGGGGCTCGCTCCCAGTTCTTCACGAGA